CTGCTCACAAAAAAGAAGTGTATAAGCGCTCATTCTCTTATAATATTTGTGACAATATTGAATTATATTATTATTTGGAATCCCAATTGGTTCGACCTATCGATTGATAATTTCAAATACAAATTCAAAAAACACTAATTCCAGGCTCAACATGGCTCTGAATGACCCTTATGAAACATTTGCATCGAGATCGTGATTATTGTTCATCAGCTCATCACTCACATGATCTATTTCAAAATATCTTTTTGTCTATCTCTCTTTCTCCTCTCTCTCTCTCGTGCCCTTTTGCCCTATTGGCTTTATTTATCAATTCACGGCTTTGGTTGAAGATAAGATGCGAATCATTCGCAATCTGAATCAAAATCCCTTTTTGTATACTGAAATATGTGAATATATATGGTGTCCAATAAGTATTACTATTATTATAATGCACATGGGGCGGTGATAGCACCTCTAGTCACTTCTGCATTAAGAGTGCTTACACCTCGGCTAACACCATCCAACCGTGACATGTTCTTTGCATCTAACTGTACTAATTATGAGTAAGTGGTACACATGATTCAGTTTTGATGAGATAAGATCATCTGTTCGTTACCTATTCTGAATATAATTAATAATCTCTGGGATATGTGGCTATTCAGCTTTCTTCGAAAATAATGTTACTCGTCATTTTTAGACCGTTGAAATGTTCTATAAATAGTGATTTATATACGAGATTACTCACTGGTAGGTTCTGTTTGGAATCTAGTTGGTTGTTGCCTATACATTAGAAGATAGAAGCATGAGTAACGTAATCAAGTTAGGTATATACTAAACAAACTTTTGCAAAAAATTACAATTTTACGGAACTAATAAAAAAATAAACCATTCCTAATATCCTCTCGAACATATCCAATTAGGTATTTTCTTTAATTTTTCTCCTACTACGCCACTGCAATAAGCATTATATCATATATCATGTGAGCAATGAATCATTCGAATCGAGATTGAAATGCACTGAGAAAGGAACCTTGTGGTATTCCAGCGTTGCGGGTAGTGAATTGGTCTGGGTATTGGACGAATGTTGAAAGACAAAGATCTTTTTTTGATGCAATTGAATCTTTAGCAACATTATTACATTGTAGATCGTATCGCATTTCCTTATACCTGATGAAACAATGATTTCATTGTGTGTTTTAAAGTTATTATAGATATTTTACAATATTATCGTTACCTCTGGAATGTAAAATTTTAAGCAATGAATACTCTACTGATGACACCTCTGTTTGATTAAAATTGTAGTAAAACGTGTCAATAATGATATTGCACCAATATATATATGCATATTGTGAATACTTAAATTTTCATTTAGAAACTACAAAAAGAGTAAAACTATCATTGCTCAGTTATTCGATATGCATCTTTGATAATTTAATTGTAATTATCTTATTTCCTATTAAATGTTAGCTGAAGAACTAGCACGCGGAATGCTTATTTTCTACTCTACTACTATACAACTTATGGCTCGTGGAAAAGTATACTATCATTTCGTGCTTGTTATAAATAATATTCTATATTGATCATTTGAAAATTGACAACATCATTGAAAAAAGTTTTTCCTCCGATTGGCAGCAAATATTAATTTTACTGACACATATCGATCAGCAAAGTGGTTACATTGCTGATTGATATGTATCAGCAAAATTGAAAATCCATAAATCGTTTATAATTCCCTTCATATTCCATCCGAGACTTCTCCGGCAACAAATTCAACTCTATATTTTTTGCCACCTCCCTTATTAATGGAGGTGTAAGTATACTTCCAGGTCGCTATCACTGTCCAATATATAATAATTTAAATATACCGATATTTTTTCGCACAACTGTCAGAAATTTCATGAATTGTCAAACCAACAACTGCGATTTCTATCAAATTTTATTTTAATTGAACACTATACAGGAAGAATAAAGAGATTGTGGGAATTGTATTAGTTCGCAAATACAATATTCTCCCATATCATTATGAACAATCGGAGAAAAAATTATATGTTCAACTCGGCAGCTAAGTAGATTGACTGCCTTAGCTGGATTCCTAGCCTCGCTACGCTCGGCTATGAATTCAGCCACGGCAGTCAATCTACTACTTTGCTGCCTAGTTAAACAAATGACTATAGTGTCAACGACATGAAAACAGCATTTATAAGATTAAAAGTACTGCTTCTCACTGGAAGTTCATCAGGATGTCTGTTATGAAATTCTCTGGCAGCTTCTCTTGCTGAAAGAGCATTATTTCCGACAAGACACACAAGTTCAATTTTATCTCTTACACTTAGCTTTCCCATAACAATTAATCACTGATTTTTACAAAATATCCCTCTAAATAATCGGGCAAAATCTGACGCTACTAATATTTCAAGACACTTTGTGACAGCGGCAATAAAAATTAACAATCGTCTTTTGTTTCTCGCGCCCAGTCAGGAGCACGCGATTTCGCATATCCGCATATCTATTAATCTGTGTTACATAGCCAACTCACCAAGATTTGATAACCAAGGGGGGTATGCAATGTGAATTTTGATTTTGCCACAAAATTATTAATATCGAATATTTTTTCATGAAATTTGATATACAACCATTTGTGGGGGTGCTGAATCCAATGGTGATTTTACATTTTCCGTGAAACAATCGCTAATACGATTTCTTCATTTTTATCTTCTAAAAATAATCGCAGTAGGCCTTGTATTTTGTAGAAATATGAATATGTTTCGTCCTAAAGTAAAGTTTTTCGAACTCTGCAATTCAAAAAAAAGTTGTCGAAATCGGTGGATTAATACAGATTTTATTGAGGTGTCCCGCTTTCAAGTGGGTCACACTGTATATATCACTTCTCGAAGTGGGTCCCACATATTACGAAACACCCTGTATATAGAAGGGTTCTTTCGAGAATAGTATCGAGTGCAGCGCCAATTATTGTAGTACACCTGATATTTGAAAGATGGTGTTTTGTATAAAACATATCAGTTGAAGCAACCTGGAGGCCTACTCTTTATTGTTGTTGGAAAAATAATTGATCATGTCGATAATGATCTGAACTAATTCACACCTTTACCAAAAAGCACCTGCAACTAAGTAGTTATATCTTTCAAATATCTGGGAATTTTTATTACCCTATTTAAACCTTTATTAGGTGTTTTAGTCAATTGATAGGTTGTTTATAGATTTGAACTGATATGGCGAAATTAATGATGATGGCTAATACCATATGGCATAGAGCATAATACTCGATGTATACTTATACTAAAATTAATCGATGAAGGTTCTCATTTTCATTAATAAATGGATGAATTTAGTGATCATTAACTACATATTTCAACTTTTAGATGAATATTTATTTGAAACGAGATTCGAAAGGTGTCTCAGCCAAGATAAAATGCATCTGCCTATTAATTGATCGAAGATATTGTGCTTTTATATATATGTTGTACTCCTTCGGTTGTAGGTACCCATTCCGAATTCGGCAGTGTCGAAATTTATATCTATAACATGCATGTAGGTAATTTTCTTATCATTATTTCGGCTACTAGTCGAGTTATATTCATACGTTTTATATCCACAATATAGAAATAGTCCACAATTTGGAACTAGTCTCATTCATATGACAACAAACAAGAGAATACATACGAAGGTATTCTGTTATATTCAAGTATTGTGTTGACCATGTTTTTCCACCCTCAATCATATATGAGTTCTTATTTTCGAAAATATCATATCACGTACTGGGTATAATAGGGAATTTATTGGAAAGAAGAACAGCCTGTATATTCATCGCTATATTTTGGTTATAATGTATTGTATTTGTCTATTAGTTGTTGAATATATCAGTAACTTGTCAGAATGAGGTAAATCACCTTTATCAAGAATCTGGCGCCCGAGATATCCGAAACAAGTACCAGAGTAGTCTCTGTCCGGAAAGCACCAAAGAGAGGGCCATAGATATAAAGGTCCTTACGAATCCTTTTTGATACTCGGTACATACAGAGGGTCGTTTCATACATCTGAGTTTCATACAGTATAGTGTGAATGATGCAAATGAAAGAAATGAGAAATCATCTTGTAAATCAACAAATTTCAGTGAAAAAAAAAATAATGAAACGCGCGTTGGAAAATGGAAATCAGTCAGGACTTTTCAGGATAGGTGGTACTATACAGGGTGGGGCATTAGTGCGTCGGAGCTCGATTGCTCGAGTTCTATGATAGCTAGAAACTTGATTCAAAAACGAATGTCAATGAGACAACAAGTTCTGTAACTAGAAATTATTGTCGCATATACAGGGGGCATCGGAAAAAATCTAGAGGGACAGGATCATTTTTTTTAAATGCCCTATATATTATCACATTTTTTGAAGCATTCCTGTGACCTCCATCCACTCCTATAATTTTGTTGACCATTTCTCGATCATTTCAAAGTTATAAATTTTTTTGTCGAAATAATGTCATCAGATCCATACCGAAAAAATCACTGTAATCACAATTATGTGTGAATTCAATTTCAGAAATTGTCAATTCAATTTCAGAAATTGTCAATTCAATTTCAGAAATTGTCAATTCAATTTCAGAAATTGTCAATTCAATTTCAGAAATTGTCAATTGTATTTCAGAATAGTCAATTGCATTACAGAAAGCGTCAATTGTGATTCAGAATAGTCAACTGAGCTTCAGAAAGCGTCAATTGTATTTCAGAATAGTCAATTCGATTCCAGAAAGCATCAATTGAATTTCAGCTTTAAAGCTTCGAAACATGTCCCTGTAAGATTGCTTACAATAAAGTGTAGCTTTGGTGGAGTCGACTGTAAGAATTTTGTCCTGTCCTAATGACTATTCTGAAATATAATTGATGCTTTCTGAAATACAAGTGACTATTCTGAAATTGGACTGACGCTTTCTGAAATACATCTGGAAAAGGTGTAGTTAATAGATAAAGAATCGCTCACCAAGCATTAGCGGCCATCCCGAAGTAGTACAGCAGCAGGAAGACGCAGGCGCAGTTGATGTTCGACAGACCGTCCTCGGGCGCCTTGGGGCAGCCCACGGCGTAGCTCCTGCCCGCAAACATGCGCAACGCCCACCCGATGCTCACCATGACGTAGCAGAGCGCGAGGCTGACGAGCGGGCGGGCTTTGACGCGGCCCCCGCCCACGGTCAGGGTCAGCGCCGAGCCGAGGCTGAGGACCAGGCAGATCAGGGCCCACACCGTCACCCAAACCTGGAATTGATTCGTGGATTTATTTTCTCATTGTTTTTTAAGAAGAAAGACTTTATTTATTCCAAGAAGAATACATGATTCTTATAATTAGGAAAGAAAGTATAAAAAAAAACATACATTATATGAATTGGGATTAATTAAGATACCAGGAAATACATTCGTTAATTAATTATATACCCAGCCCTTGCAAATAATAATTAGGACCCTGCAAAAAAAAACAAAAAAAATCTAAGTTGCCTTATATTCTTAAGTAGGTACCTATACCTAAAGAAATAAAAAGTCCATTGCACGTAGTAAGTAGCTGATTTTTTATGTATCACAATCTACATTCATATCGCCTAATTGGTCATAAAATACTGTTTTAATTTTGATTCTAAAATGGGTCCCTTAGAAAATCTTATATCTAAAGGAGTGCTATTATATATTTTTAATCCATCATGACATAGTGATTTTTGGCCAACATTTGAATAAACTTTTGTTAAATATAAATTCTGTTGTTGTCTGGTCTCATACCCATGGATTTCCGATACATTTTTCACTATCGTTACATGCAGAGTGTTTTTCTTTCGAGGCTATGTAATGAATATATATAGTTATTTATTATACAAGGGAAAAAAGTAGTAAATTTTAGCTCCAGGTTGTGTGCGTTTTATAGACATCTTTATCATTCTTTTGAAGTAATCAAATATCTGATGTCACTTCTGTCAGTTCAATTCTGTGATTTGATTTTAAAAAATTGCGAATTCAGTAGTTGTTTAGTAATATACGAAACCGCGAAGTCGAATGGAAGATAAAAGGACTTGCAGTTCTTTTTCGGAGACGGTATTATTGACTCATTTTTCGGAACTATAGCACAACAAAAGCCATTAACAGTGTATATATATGTGATATATATCCGGGAAAGAAGTACTCACTTTTTTCCCACGGGAAAAAAGTAATTTATGAAAAGTGACATTTTATAACCTGCCAACACAGATGAAATGCCAACCTTTTTTCCCGTCACAGAAAAAAAGCTATTTTGTACCTGTATAATATGTTATGTAAGGTTAAAAATCCTCGACCAGTGTACAAATCATTGTCAATTGGATGGCATTACAGGGAATCCTTATTATTGTGAAAATTTCATAATTTTCTTCGTTTTATCAAATGCTTCTATTTATTCACCAAAACGAATACAAGGAAAGAAGAAATCATGACCCACCCTCTGAAAACACCCATTATAATGATATCATACTCAATGTAGAAATTTGTGAAATAAATGAGTATCACACGGAGAAAAAATTTCATTGATCACAAATCAAAAACCACTTCTCCCAAGCGAAAACCTCAACAAAATAGGGGACGAGTAAACTATGCATTTGAAGCAAATAACTCGAAACTTTTGCCGAGGTAATATCTTTAATACTTACAACCAATAGTTTAAGTATTCAACGTAAATTACCAATGATTTGAGATTATTTTATAGCAATAGCTCTGTTCAACTAAGACGAAATGTTTACTCATTCATAACTCATAACATATATGATGAACACAAATGGTCGCGTTTTTATATCAAGTAATTAGCATTTGCTTCAAGTGACCATAATGTATAATCTCAAATCATCTCTCAATTAGCTCTCAGCATCACCTTCATTGCCCATTAATGTATGTTTCATTCATAGTGGACGCGCTTATGTATTTTCGTGGGCTCAAGATGATTAAAGCAAACGACCTATTTCAACTGTTAGTACTCATTATATAGAACATCAAATCACTTCTTGGCCACCCTAGATACGCGTCGTTCACCCTCTGCAACCCTTCAAAGGGTGAAATTTTCAAATGACCGTATCTCAATGACTATTTGAGGTAGCGAATTCGTTTTGACGCCAAAATGATTGTTTTTTGATTGTGAATGAAGTTTTATATGAAGACATTTACTGTTTTCTCAACACCTGTTGAGATATTTCGAATAAACTGATATTTTTATATCATACCATTCGATTTTTATCGAATAACTTCGAAATGAATGAATTTTTCGAATATATGCCTCAATTGAAAATTCTTGCTTACACTCTCAGCTACATTTTGATACTAGCATTATTATAATTCCGATTATACAAACTTGTATTAAACGCTGTGAAATCGGAAGAACGCGTGTTCTCAGACACGTTTCGACATGACTAAACGTTATGTCTGCGAGCGTCGTCATGCATTGCATAGAATCAATCATAGATGAATCTTGAATCTTTTTAGTCGACGTATCACTGTTAATATGTGAAGTTGTGTAAATACAACTTCGTAAATCGTTCAGGATTTTGAATATTTGAGTGAACAATAATATATTATATTAAAAATGGATTCGGAAATTAACTTTGCTTTGTGTGTTATTTGTCAAAAAAACAATGATTTGAAATTAGTGAAGAAACCTACAAGACACGATATGGTGATGAAGTGTATAAAATCAAGAATTGACCTAGATGATCCTGATTTTATTCATATGAAGCATATTTACTCTACAATATCAACGGATGAATTGAGAAATAATTCTGGATCATGGCATTCAGAATGCTACAGTAAGATAACCCATAAGAAAAGTTTAGAGCGTCTACAAAAATCCTCGCAAAAATCGCTTGCTTTGACTCCATCAACTTCTGGTTCTCATAGCGTTTTGAGATCGAATGTTCCCAAACTAAATGATTTTTGTTTCTTTTGCAACAAAAAAGAAACAAAAAAATACCCTCTACACACGATCGTAACTGATGAAGCTGGGAGGAGTTTGAGAGATGCGGTTCAGTTGGGAGGCAATGAAGAACTCAGAGTCAAATTATCTGGATTCATTTCTCAAATAGATGCTCGTGCATATGAAGTGAAATATCACCGAACTTGCTGGGCGACAAATGTGGTAAATGTTCTCAGAAAATCCAACAATATACCAGAAAATCATCATCTTGAGACTACTGTAGCTGCATCAGAGGTAGAATTTTTGAGTGAATTGCGAAATATTCTGTATGCTGGTACTATAATGAATATGCAGGAAGTTGAAGAGCTATATCTGAGAATATGCAATTCTCATGATTTGCCCTACGATTATCGAAAGAAGAGGAAATATTTAAAAGCCGCTATAATAGAGGAATTTCAGGATGATGTTTATTTTTCAAATGCAATTAACCCTTCCAAACCCCAAAATGTTTGCCTACAGAGTGTGAAAGATCACACATTCAGATCTTTGATGGCAAATAATTCGAACACGATGAACGACGATTTGAAAATTCTTTATAATGCTTCTGTTATTCTGAGAAGAGATGCAGCAAATGCTGATTTGTGGAAATTCGATGGATCACTGTTGTCCTCAGAAAGTAGAAAAGTCATTCCTGAAAATATGATTGAATTTTTCAAGTGGTGTATCAAAGGTGAAGATGGAAATGATCAACTGGCAAGTTTTAACGATTCTGCATTCAGAGTCTCTCAGGTTTTATTATTTGAAATGTTATCAAATAGGCAGGTCAAATTCAAATCTAATTTGAAAAGAAAATCTAGAGAGTATCCATTACAAACAGCAGTTGGAATAATTGCATTTCATTCAACAAGAAGCCAGTTTTTAGTGAAATTTTTGAATAAACTGGGTTGCTCTATAAACTATGATAAAATGTTGCGAATAGAAACTCAAATCGCATTATCCGTTTTGAAAAATATGTCCGAAAATGGAAATATATACATTCCCCCTGATTTGGTAGAAAACAGATTCATATTCTGTGCAGCTGATAACATAGATTTCTTAGAGGATACCATAGATGGGAAAAATACATTACATGGTACTGTGATGGTAGTTTACCAAGCCGCACACTCAACAGATGAACGAAAGCAACTGAAATTATTAGAAATCACAAACGAACGTTCTTTGAAATCAATTCCACCAGAACTCTCGAACATATTGCCTTGTAATATTCCAAAAAATATTAAGCCACTTAGTCCTGTCCTCACTTCAGAGCCAGAAAAGAGCATGATTATACCAAATAAGGGCATCATTTGGATTTTGATGAAGCATTTCGAAATGAAAACAAATGCTGAGGCAACACCTTCATGGCCAGCATATAACTCTCTGGTTTCGAAAAACAATTCCCAACAGCAGACAAGAGTCTGTCTTTTACCACTAATAAACGAGACTCCGACGAGCACATCGACACAATTCACATTTATGAAAAAACTAGAAACTCTCAATTGTAAAATTAATGGACCTGACAAAAAAGTTGTTGTAACCTTAGACATGGGACTGTATAAGCCAGTTAAGCGTATGTCAATGGTCAAAACAGAAGAGGCTAAGATGTGGGTCACAAAACCAGGAGAACTTCACATTCTAATGGCTGAGTTACATGCGATTGGCATTTTCATAGATGGATCTGGCATACCCGAACTTTGGCATGATTTGTATGGTGACTCAGTTATCAATCAAATTTTGAATGGCAAACATGTTCGTCGGGGGATAAGAGCTCATACAGCGACACTAGCAGCATTATATAGTTTATATATGGAACAACTTATATGTAAATATCCAGAATTGTCATCGCCTCTCGCTGAATGTTTCTCATTCATACACAAACCGATAACTGAAGAGAATATGAAGAGCATTCATGAAAGTATTTCCATAACTTTGGAAGATCTTAAATTTGTTCATAAAATGGAAGAGTTCAACAAAGAGCTGGAGGCGACAAATGTAACATTTAAAATGATTCGACAATATATGGACATGGTTGAGACATTACTCCTTCAGATAAAAGCCATTCGACTAGGAGATTGGGAGTTACATTTATCAACTCTTGACTTGTTTACAAAATATTTTTTTTCTATGGACTTGATCAACTACTCAGGCATGATAGCTTGGTTCCTGGCGGAAATTCAAGAGCTGAGAGATACAAGCGTCTGGGAAGAATTTTGTAATGGAAATTGGGTTGTGAATAAATCAAATAAAGTTTTCACATGTCTTGGTTCCGACGAAGCATTAGAACATATCAATAGAGCTTTGA